CACGTCGATTTTACTATTCAGAATCGTTTGTTTAGTTCATCGAGTCAGTATTGTGAAAGCAATGAAAACTGTACAACTAGAATGAGGAATAAAGACAACTATTTTATTATTGAAATTTAGAAAGATTCTTTTTTCTTACTGATGATAGTACATTTAATGTATTGAAATAGTTGTGATCTGACTAGTTTTTTATTTAATTTTTTTATACATAAGTCTTCTCATATATAATTTGTGATTTGTATGTTTGTAGTTTTTTCTAAGTACATTTTAAAGAAATTTGAATGTGGTGGATTAACAAGTTACTATTTTTAATATTTATTATAAAATACACTACTCTAAAATAACAATAAATTATTGTTTTATAAACGAAAGTAAATTTTATTGTTCTAAAATTCTTTCTTTAAATTCTACAAACTTATTTTTTTGCGACAAAATATTTTCTTCTGACAAAATTCCTTTTATAACTTTTTCTAATTCATTGTCTAGCAAATTAAACCTTTCTAATATAAAAAAATTTATACAATCTGCTAGTTCAATGCGTTTATCTTGTATTTCTATATTTTTACTATTAAAAATAATATATTCAAGAATTTCCGCTACCTTTTCTTCATAATCTAAAGCCAATTCACCCAATGTCTCTCTTAAGTAAATAATTAAATCTACTTCCTCTTTAATGTGTTTCAATTCATACACTTTATGAATAGTAAAATTTACAAATACTTCTTTGATTCTGTAAATATTTATATCTAAATTATTTAACTCCTCAATGGCTTTTTCTATTTCACCATCTTCTATAAGAGTTCTTATTTTCGCTCTTCTCATAAAAAGTGGATGTTTTTTAAATTCTAAGTTAAGGTCTTTTGAAAAGTCATAACACAGATCTCCATATCCCATGTAAATAAAATAATCAAGAATTAATTTATTGTATTTAGAAAGACTATCTAAAGAATCAATTTCGACTGTAGAAATATTTTTAACAGGTGTAATCATCAATTGATAGGGCTTAGAAATAGTTAATTGTATATTAAAAATATTTTTTGTATTCAAAACATAATGGTGTACAGACATAATGATTTTCATACACCCAACTTTTTAAACAAACAAACTTTCTAACTTTTCTTTTTTTAGAAACAGCTACGGCATAAACAGCATAATCGATAAATTCATCTAATTTGAGATCAGCTAAGGAAATTGAGTCATAAATGTTATACAACGATTCTAGTTCAATAAATTCTAGAGAATTAGAAAAAATATATTTGAGTATTTTATAATCATAACATATAGTAACTTTATAAGATTGATTAGAGAATAATATATTAAGTGTTTTATAGATGCAAGGAAGAGGCTCTATAGATCTTAATTTTTTGTAAGGAGATAGATGATAATTAATTTTATCTTTCTTATTTTTATTTGAAATTGATAAATTGATACCGATACCGTTATCCAATGATTTATACATGTAAGGAAGAAGGCGGGTTTCAATAATTAGATTTGACATTTTATTTATTTTATGTTTGTGTTTTATAAAATATTCTAGATCATCAATATCAGTGAGACAAATAGAAGATTTAGTTAATAGTTTAGATTTGTATACTGAAACATCCGTTATGTATTCAGAAACAAGTGAAAGCTTGTTAAGAACAGTATTGATTAAGGAAGTTTTTAAAGATCCGGATGGGCCAGAAATTACAATAATATTGTTATGTCGAGTTTTAAGAGCCTCTTCAAATTGTTTAAATATTGATAAAGATACTATATTTGAGATATCTAGAGAGTTAAAAGTAGCCATTTATGGGTATAGAATTTGAGATTAATAAGTAATTTAGAAGTTTTATTTGTTTAAAAGTATTCAATTTGTTCAAAATTTATTTAAAATTTAAAACAAAAAGCATAATAATGTAATGATGACAATTTTAAAAAATTGTGACTTTTTATTTGTAAACAAAAGTGGACTACATGTCATTTAAAATAGAAAATTAGTTTAACAATTGCAACTTATTGTGCTTTTAACTACATCATGCAGGAATAAGGATATTTTTATAATGTTCTGTCAAGTAAACCAGATTTAATATATTTGACAGAAACACTTTTAAACAATTTTTACAAGTTAAACGCTTGTTTTAATTCAACACACCGATTGAATCAAAAAAATAGAATGTTTTTTTGAAAATTACCTTAAATGTAAAACATAATATTTTTACCCCAAAGATGAATGTAATTAATTGTATGTTTTACTTTTTAATAACATTATGTAGCCTTTTGGAGAATACAGTATTAAATGAGGGCAATATACAAAAAGGAATGTCATTACTCAACAATTTAAAGTCTTCTAAGGATTATTTAATTTCTTATATTCTTAGAAAATATTTTTTAGATAATCCAGATTCTTCAATTCAAACAGATGCTTGTATAGATCTGATATTGTCAAATGAATATATGGAACTTATTTATTCAGCACAAGTTCTTAGCAGTAAAGTTTTTTACGATAATGCTTTAAATATTGCAAGTTATCTTTTAAAAGTAGGACAAAGGGCTTGTAAAAGATATTTAGATAATAATTACGAATTTAGTCCTAAAATATATTTTAAAAATAAAGAAGAAAACTATAATAATCTTTTAATCATGACTAGGGGATTGGATAAAAAGAGTATACAGACTTATTTCAATTTATTATCAACTAAAAAATTAAAATTAAAAAATCAAATATCGCTACTTGAATATCTTGCCTCAAAAGATGTTGGAAAAGCCTATGGATACTTAGGCGAAGCATATTTATATGGGATAGGTGTACAAAAATCAATAGATAAAGCACTTGATTATTTTTTAAAAGGCAAAGCTATAAGTAGAAATCAAATTTCTTACAATGGGATTGGTAAAATACTAATGTCTAGTGAATATGAAGATTTTATCGGTGCAAAAGAGCATTTTGATTCTTTTTCTAATAATTCAATAAGTGAAACAGATTTTTTTCAGTACATTTTATACAATGAATACTTCAAGATTGATCAATATTCTACATTTTACTTGTCAAGGGCTGTATCTGTAGGTTATCTACCAGCAATGTATGTAGATGGTGAGAGATATTTTAAGAAAAAAGATTATGGATCAGCAATAGTTAGATTAAAACCAATACTAGAATATGATGAAACGGTTATTGAATTACAAGATTTAGCATATGAAAAATATAAAAATAAGAATTATATATCATCTCTTATACATCTATTAATGACAGTTGAAATGGGATCAAGTTCATCGTTAGATAATGCAATATATTTATTAGAAAATAAGAAAATAAACCTGTCGAAAAGTACAGTAAATAGTTTATTGTATAAACTGTATATTAAACAGACAAATACAACATTTAAAAATGTAAATCGTGTTGGAGATTGTTATTATTATGGTCGAGGTGTTAAACAATCTTATAATACAGCGTTTTCATATTATTTAACATCTGCAACATTTAACGAAACAGAAGGTTTAGTTAATTTATATTTTATGTATGAACGAGGATTAGGAGTCGAAAAAGATTTATTAGAAGCTTTTAAAATATTACAAAAAATAAGAATGGATGATCAAACATATCTACTTATTTGTTATTTATACATTATATTTGTATTTAGAGTTATATTTACTACATATATAATAATATCTATAGGGACTGGAATAGTGGCATATAAAATATATACAAAACATTTTAATTAAATTGTATTTCTAATTTTAGATTTATAACATATTTTTTTAAATAAATATACTATTTTGTTGTGAATTATATTCTTTTTTTGTAAAAAGTTCAGAATACATTGAACAAGATTTAGATGTAGTTTTTTAGTAAAGTATTCTATTTTTAGAATAAATTATATTTACAGCTTAGTAAATAAAATCACTTATATAAACATAAATTAGTTGTTTAAATAGAACATACATATCTACATACAAATCCTTATAAAAATTGTTATACTATAAGAATTGCATTAAAAACTACATTTCGTTTATGTTGTTATTACTTTCTTTAAACATGTCTGTTGATTGTAAATTCCTTTATATAGACATTTGTGCTTAATTGTTTTATATAAACACAACTATCTGAATGTCAAACCTAGGCAGATTAAATCCCCTTTAATTCATGGTGTCACCATGAATTCTGTTTACAATTGAAATATAATTTCAGTCTTTACACAAATTGCAATTTTCAATGTTTTCTGTTTTTGGGAGATGTAAAGTGATCATAATGTTCTTCTAACCTAACAAAAAAAGATTATTAATGGAGTCACCGGGAATCGAACGCGGGTTTGCAGCTTGCGGAGCAACCGCTTTACCATTAAGCTATGACCCCGTAAGATCAAATAATTCTAATGTTATGTGAAGTCTTAATATAGTATAAAAATAAATCTTTTGCATGATATAAAGGTAATTATTAATTTTGCTTTCTTGGTTCATGATGTATATAAACAGAAGATGAACAATCTATTTAAGCATCGTACAGTGTCTATTATAAACTAAAGCATAAATTAAAAAGTTGAGTAATCAAACCTTAAAATTTATCAGTTTATGAAAGAACATAATCATTAAGGAGGTGTGTATGAAGTTTATAAAAAAATTTAAGAATAAAGAAGCAGATAACAAAAATGCATTAATTGTATTTGTAGGACAGTAAAGATGCAGACAAGTCAATCAGCGGTATTGGATTGATGGCTTTGATATGTCTGTTATATAAATAAAAATTATTAAATAATACCATGTTTTATCCCAACAGTATTAAATATATTATGATTTATTTTTTTGCGAATTTTAAATGATATGACAAAGTTTGATTATTAAGACGTTTAAAA